ACACGTGGCAGTTACTTTTGTCACCACACCAATACAGTATAGTATACGAATATATTCTAACTTGCATCCGATATATTTTCTTAATAAAAATTAATACACACACGACTGTGTAGTGATAGTTATAAGTATGTAATATAGAATGAAATTATTATCCTTTGACCATATAAATGATATCCATATAATTATACGTAGTGTGTAAATAAATAATTTTATACAATTTTGAGTGGAATATGTGATATCCAGGGATATCACAATGTCAATATTGTCTAAATAGTTATGTTAATAACTTCATCCCCTAATTTGTAAACTTCATCTCAATTTTTTTCCAAATTTATATGGGACCACTCCTAAAGTATACTACTTTAAGTATATAACCTATTTGATAAAAAAGAATCAACAAATAATTGATATAATCAGGCATTACTTTGCGGAAATCAGTTATAATAAAGATATTTATAGTTGCAAAATAGCTACTAATATCTTTATTAGAATCAACAAAATTGGTTCACAATTGGCGAAGATATCGCGTAACATACCTATTAAAAATCATATAGTGGACTTTGATTATATAGACAGGTACCTATATAATAATAATAATAATAATAATAATCCCCCCTACGGGATCACCTTGTCGTGGTGGGGGGGCTTAAGAGAAAGGCATGTACTCAACTGCAGTCTGAACAACTATACTCTGTAACAATAACAAGGCAGAATAATCTCTATGCCTATTAATATTTAATGACCCTTTCCCAATTAACGATCCCAAACCAGGTTTAAAATAATGAGTGCACGGCGTAAACTACGGCCCCCAGTGCCCGGCAGATTCAGTAACCATGTCGACTCTGGCGGAAGCCGAGATGGTGCTGTATCTTGGGGCGCATACACTCTCCGGGCGAGGAAGATTTCCCGTCAAACGACTCAAGCGAGATCCACGGACACCGATACCCTTAGTGATAGTGATAGTTTATATACCCCCGGAAACGATAGACAAAAATCAATACCAAACATTTCACACCAGTCTTTATCTTCTTCATTATCATCAAGTATCCAATTGCTGAAGGATGATGCACAGAAAATAACTCCTGTTATAGAAACTGTGCCCACCATCAGTAACCGTAACACGCGTAAAAAAATGGACTTCTGAAATGAATGAATTTATATTGCGTACTTACCTCTATTTAACAATGATGGATACTGACACTAAAGGTTATTTACAACCATTACACATGAAATTTATAGAACGATTCCCAGATATGCAAGTTACTCGTCAAAGAATAGGAGATCAGCGAAGAGCAATAATGTATAACAAACTTTTGCCCCAAGAAATAGTAAATCAAATTTATAATGAAGTGCAATCAAATTTACAGCCTACATTTGCCCAATCAATCTCTGTTACACAAAATAATCAACACACTAATACCCACCCTTTACAAACACAACAACGCATGAAATGGACAGACGAATATAATGAAGCTATAATAAGAATTTACTACAAAATAACTCAATGTGAGAAAAATAAAATAGAATATAGGAAACTCTTACACCAAGAGTTTATAAAGCAATTCCCCCATCTAAGTCATTTAACAGAGCAACGCATAGCTGACCAAAGAAGATTAATTCTAAGTAAGAAATATTTAAGTGTTGACCGCTTAGAATTAATTAAGAATGACTTGCAAGAACAGCATAACGATATACAAGCGAATGACAACTCAATACTTCAGATAGGTATCACAGACAACGAAGAACCAGAACACAGAAAGTTTATATTTAAATGCTGAAAACCACACAACAAATGAAAATGAAAATTTACATAGGGAAAAGATAATTGCCATAGATGAAATGTTTGCTAAAGCTTTAGAATATTTTGCTAATGCAAACCCAACAGAAAGACAATTTATACCAAAGCAGAGGTAATCAAAGAAATTGAGTAAAATAGTTGCCTATGTAAACAATATTTTATTGCCACAATATATCAACAGCGAAATTGAATTTAAAACATTTCAGAATTTAGTGTACTGTGCAGCATGGACTTCAGCTAAGCTCAACGGAGCTAAAATTGAAATAGCTATACAAGTTGATAATCCGTTAGGACCTGAGAAATAAAAGAAATATAATAAGCCAAAGTGGGAACAAAGATTAGAAAACAAAGTAAGTGAATTAAGAGCAAAAATTGCAAGGCTAACTCTATATATTAATGGAAACCGAGGTCAAAAATTAATCAAACACGTAAATTCTATACTCGAACAACATAAAATTCATTCTGTCCACGAAGAACATAACACCAAACAGGAACATTTTTCAGACACACTTAAACAAAAACTAAAACTTACTAGTAGTCGGTTAAAAAGATATAGAGCATGCTCTCTACGAAAAACTCAAAACATTCTATTTTGCTCAAATGAAAAACTTTTCTACCGTAATATAAAAAATCCTTTTAAAAATAAAATCAGCAGTTTGAAAAGCTCCGAAAATAATATCTTACCATCACCGAGAGAATTACAAAGTTACTGGTCTACAATATAGGAGGAACCTAAACATTATAATACAGAAGCGGATTGGATCAAAAATCAAATAGACACATCACAGATTAAAGCCATGCAATTTCAACATATCAAGATAGACACTTTCCATAAAGTAATTAAAAAACTGCATAATTGGAAAACACCTGGATCAGATAATATACATAACTATTGGTATAAAAAGTTTACAACTATCCACCCGATTCTGTTTAATTTTGTTAATAAATTCATACAAAGCCCGCATACTTTGCCGCAATACATTAGTTCAGGAATAACGTATATGATACCAAAATAGCCTAGTAATCTTGACAATCCTGCAAAATATAGACCTATCACATATTTACAAACATTGTACAAAATAATTACATCTTGCTTAACTGAAACCATTTATGAACACATAGAAGCTAATAACATATTGTCAGAAGAACAAAAAGGTTGTAGAAAATTTAGTCAGGGTTGCAAAGAACAGCTCACAATAGATGTAGTAGTCAAAAAGAAAAGATTTATTTAGCATGTACATTGATTATAAGAAAGCTTATGACTCAATCCCGCACACTTGGTTATTAAAAATTTTAGAAATATACAAAATACACCCAAACATAATACAATTTTTACAGGCTGCGATGACCAATTGGACAACGAAACTTAAAATTAACACACAAGATGGAATGATAGAAACAGATATGATTGCAATAAGGAGAGGTATTTTTCAAGGGGATGCACTTAGTCCTCTCTGGTTCTGCCTTGCAATAAATCCCTTATCACAAATGTTAAACTCAAAAAACATAGGGTACTCTTTACAATACCATAGAACACAAGATCATCTACATACTAAGAAGGAAAAAAAAACTTAGTCATCTTTTGTATATGGACGATCTAAAACTATATGCTACTACTCAAGATGAATTAGATCAATTAGTTATATTAACGGAAAAATTTTCACGAGATATTGGAATGGAATTTGTTATTGATAAGTGCAACATTAATTCAGTAAGAGCTGGACAGTATTATGAACATAACTATCAGTTGCAAACAGGACAGCAAATCAAATCTTTAGAGGAAAATGGAGTGTATAAGTATTTAGGATATAATCAGTCTAAGCAAATACATCATAAAGAAATTAAAAATACATTAACAGATCAGTTTCGATATAGGCTTCGCTTAGTATTAACATCTCAATTAAATTCTAAGAATATATTTAAAGCTATTAACACATTTGCAATTCCCATACTAACTTATTCCTTTGGCATAATACACTGGTCCAAAACTGAACTAAAAAAGCTACAACGCGAAATAAATACATCTCTTACGAGGCACCGTAAACACCATCCAAGATCATGCATACAAAGACTAACATTGCCACGAAATGATGGAGGGAGAGGGGTAATAGACATAGTTAACTTACATAACAGACAAATAACTACACTCAGAAATTACTTTTATGATAAAACAGCAATATCATCACTACACAATGCCATAGTACAGAATGATCATAAATTGACACCGCTTAATATGCATGATAAAACATTGCAAAAAAAATGAGTTACTTACAGATAACAACACAAAAATTGACATATGGACCCAAAAGTCTCTACATGGAAAACATCGCCATGATTTGAACCAACCTACCGTAGACAAATTAGCGTCGAACGCATGGCTTCAACGTGGTGAGCTTTTCCCTGAGACTATTTATGTGCGCAATTCAGGAATCATGAGACACGCATTATCAAAAGCATATTTTATTATGCTTCAGAAACAATTCAACACATCACTGGTGCCTGTAAAGCGATTGTTCAGACGGACTATAAGTATCGGCATGATCAAGTAGCCAATATCATTCACCAAAAACTTGCCTTTAAGTATAAATTAACTGACCAGCCAACTCAAGTATACTATAAATATAAACCAGAAATAGTCCTTGAAAATACCACTCACAAAATGTATTTTGACAGAGCTATACTTACTGACAAAACAATACACTTTAATAGACCGAATATAACATTAATAGATAAAGCGAATAAACATGCTCTTATTATTGACATTGCTATACCTAATTCACATAACTTACAGACAACAATTAATGAAAAAAATTCCAAGTACACTGAATTAAAACATGAAATTATTAGAATGTGGAATTTGCATAACGCCATTATAGTCCCTATAGTCCTCTCTACAACTGGTGTAATACCAAAAGCGCTTCATCAATCATTAAAAACTTTAGATTTACCAAAACTAACATATATTCAATTACAAAAAGCAGTTTTACTTAATACTTGTAGAATAGTTAGAAAATTTATCTCTACAGAAAACTACCTATAACCAAACAAGTTCATGGTATCCACTTGGCTTTGTCCCGTGGTAACAACCATTAATCCAGTTTTGTTAAAAACAAACTGAGAAAACGTAGAAAATATAAATAACAATAATAATAATAATAATAATAATAGGGGATAATAATAAAAGGGGGAGAAACTGGAGGTTTTGCGTATCGGACAAGGATGCATCGACTTTTTTGCTGAGCTGGAGCCATCTGTAACCGTCACCGAGCAAAACCTGGCAGACCCAGTTCGGTATATCTTGCGCTCAAATACATTTGATGTCACCGAACTCGAACGGCTACGACGTGAGGCTGTTCCTTCATCGGGTGAAAATGCTGCGGCTGAGGATGCGGCGCCACAACTTGCCGAGCAAACGGCAAATGTGGATGCCGCCGTGAATACGCCAGTTGTGGTTGATTCAAACGATGATGGAACAGTCGCCCAGGAACTGGAACTAGAGCAAATGAGAAGTACATTGGAAGAGGCGATTGTGGAAACGCGCAGTACGACTCTCGAAAATCGACCGCGACTTCCCCCGCTTAGCCCTAAGCAAGCGGAATCGGGCTGTCGTGAGGGCACTGAACCCAATGCTGGTTACCTATTTGGAAGCCAGCCGGGACCTTTGCGAGACGGACTCAATTCTTTTTGGCGCCGCACTGGCAGTCTGCCGTATTATAGGTGCCAAACTTTCCACGGCTGGACGCGCTACTGGACAAAGTAGTGCTATCCCAGCCTGGAGAATAAGAATTGAAGAACGTATCGCAAAGGCTAGGGCCCTCATCGGCAGACTGATATGCTTCAGGTCAGGCAATACCAGGCCAAGGATTGTGCGCACCGTCAGGATGGCGTTTGCTGGGACAAATGTTAGTTTGTCCCAGCCGGATATAATGCAAAAACTGACGGAGCGCATAGACGACCTGAAGCAAATAATAGCTGCTTGGGGAAAGCGGATTCGGGGATATACCGAGAGGTCGACACGGTTCAACCAGAATCGTCTCTTCCAGAGTGATCAGAAGAGGCTCTATAAATCATTGGAGCGACCAATAGTAAGTGGAACGGGTCCTGCACCAAATCAGGCCGACATGGTCGCATTCTGGCGCAGCCTGTGTTCAGAGCCCGTAAACCACAACGAGAGCCCTTGGACGGAAGTTGTGGCGAGTCAGTGTGCGAGTATTACGCCCATGGACCCCGTTGTCACAACGCCGGATGACGTAGCTGAGGCGGTCCGTGGGGCCCCGAACTGGAAAAGTCCGGGGCTTGACGGGCTGCATCACTACTGGCTGAAGGGGTTCATGGTGTGTCACTCTGTGCTCGCCCGACAGTTTCAAGAGGCTCTCAACCAGAAGTCGCTCCCAAGCCTCTTCACTACTGGGATCACTCATTTGGTTCCTAAAGATCAGGGTGCCACAGACCCGAGCAAATAACGCCCCATTACGTGTCTACCGATCATATATAAGACACTAACATCCATTTTGAGCGCAAGAATCGCTCGTCACCTGGACTTAAATCAGGTGATGTCGCGCGCTCAAAATGGATGTCGGGGCGGCGGTCGTGGAACCAAGGAACCACTCCTCATTGACGCGGTCATTGGCAGAGTGGTGAAACGCAACCGTCGGAACTTCTCCGCCGCCTGGATAGATTACAGAAAGGTATTTGACTCGGTGCCCCATACATGGCTAAAGAGGGTCCTCGAGCTGTACAAGATTGACTGTACAGTTCGAGACTTCCTCGAGCAGTGTATGGGGCAGTGGAGTACGATCCTCTGTCATCTAGGCGAGCGGATGACGGCTGCGGAAAGCCGCATAAGGATAAGAAGGGGTATATTCCAGGGCGACTTTCTGAGTCCAATCTGGTTCTGCCTCTCTTTGAACCCTCTCAGTACTTTACTGGAGGGCTCCGGGAGGGGATTTCAGCTTCGGAAAGGAGGTACAAAAGTGACCCACCTTTTCTGATGTGGATGTGGATGACCTCAAATTATTCGCCTCCAGTCGCTCCCATCTTATGGAATTGCTAAACATCACGTGTGAATTTAGCAATTCTATTAGAATGGAGCTGGGGACGGATAAGTGTGCGGTCCTCCATGTTGAAAGGGGAAGGGTTGCTAACTCTCAGGGCATAGACTTATCTATGCCCGTCAACTTAAGAACCCTTTCCGAGGCTGAAACATACCGATACCTGGGTATGTCACAGAACATCGGTATCGATGAGGCTGGTATGAAACAGTCAGTTTGCGACGTGTTTTATGCACGCTTGACCAAAGTGCTTAACAGCCTTTTGTCCTGTGTGAATAAGGCACACGCATATAACGGTTGGGTCATGCCTGTCCTCATGTATACCTTTGGCATACTCAGGTGGACTCAGACTGAACTTAACGCCCTGGATAGAAAAGTCCGCACTACCATGACGTCCCATAGGATGCATTACCCGAGATCTTCGGTAATGAGGCTGTACTTGCCGCGGAAGCATGGTGGTCGTGGCTTATTAAGCGCGCTCACCATTCATAATCGCGAAGTGTGCAGCCTCCGTGATTACTTTCTGACGAGATCGGATGATCCATTCTATAGGGACGTCATTTCTTGTGATAAAGGGCTTACTTCAATATCCTTGTCCACCACCATCCTTCACAGTTAGCTACCGTGGGTAAATCTTTGTTTCAGAGAGCACGAGGGATCTGTGACAGTAAACACCTGACTGCCGAGCTCCACCATGTCAAGCAAGTTTTGCATGACAACAAGGTTCGGGGCCCGCGCCTACGTCACAGTGAACGAGTGAAACCGGCCACAGTCGAGCGTGTACCTGCTGTACTGCCATATGTTAGAGGAGTCACTGACAAGATTGGCTACATCTTGAAGCGCGCTTCCATCAAAACATACTTCAAGCCGCCGAAGAAGATTGGTCAGTTTTTACCATCAGTCAAGTGTAACGTCCCTCTGCAAGATGCAGGAGAGTACAAGCTTGATTGTGAATGTGGTCTCTCCTACATAGGACAAACTAAAAGATCCATTAAAACCCGCGTCAAAGAACATATAGCTGATGTGAAGAATCGACGCTCCGGGAAGTCTGCAGTCTGTGAACATGTACAGGATCGCCCCCGTCACTACATCAGATTTGATAGACCACAAATCCTCGCTAAAGAACACCGATTCCTTCCAAGGATGATTCGCGAGGCTATTGAAATCAAAAAACATCCTAATTTCAATAGAGAAGATGGCTGGGTGCTACCATCTGCTTGGGATCCTATAATAAATAAAATTAAATCCCAACCCAAGCATACAACTGCAAGACTTCATGATACCATAAGTTCATACTGTGTAGATCGGAACAAAAGTTAAATTTTAATCTATGGTAACCGCGGTTAACTATGACAGCTGGACGTTGAACATCTCAGTCCTTCCCGTGACCATGGGTGCTGTAAAGCTCTCGAAACGTCGGGTAATTATCAAGTTAAATATACGCGATAAATTCCGTAAAAACTAGTATTATTTTATTCTTTTTAGTTTTTTTCTGCTTTTACCTTTATTAGTAGTTAATTTTTTTTAAATACATCGAATGCATCAACTCGAATATCAACTAAATATTTATCGAAAACATTATCCCTAATTTTTCCCACCATAAGGCTTGGATTTTTTCTTCAAACACAGCGCCGCTGAAATATAACATATTTAATAAAAATGATTAATAAAATCAGTTCCCAATTAATTAAATAATCACTTAGCATTCAGACAAAACCTACAGTCGATTTGTGAACCTGTTCCTTTTTTGAAGTCGCCTAAGAAAGAAAACTAACAGAATGTAACAGATTATATATAGCAACAACATGGAATTTAATATCTTATAGTTGGGTTAGCTTTTGTAGCAATGTTTTGATATTGCATCTGGGGGTATATTAATATCTGCAGTAGAACCAGAGTAATTGACATAGCCCAAAAGATTAGTAAGCTGAAGCGACAACGGGCCGGCAACGCAAAGAACCGACAACTGTGGGGTAGCAAGGTTCTCTAGTGGCAGCCTCGTACCGGTAGGTGAAGTGTAGGGCGGCTCCCCACTAGATGGAAGGACGACCTGGTAATACATGCGGGAAGTCAATGGATGCAGGTAGCTCAGGACCGTGCTTTGTGGCATTCTTTAGGCTTTAGTGAAGATGACAAATGCATCGGATTTAAATAATTGATACGTATATTTGGCAAATTCAAAAAAGGGAGGAAGGTTTGCAATTCTACTATTATTATTATGGGGTATCTATATAGTTTTCTCATCTGGTTGGGTTCTATAAATATATAATTATAAATGAAAATGAAAAGATAAATATACATAAATATCAATAACATAAAATAAATATAAAAGTACATAAATAAGTAAAAGCCCAACCAGATGGAGGCCCTCGGCAGGGGAGACCAAACGGCCGAGGGTTAGGGGGAAAGGGAAAGAAACCGGCGGACGATGCGGGCGGTATCGAGGAGCACCGCCTTCTACATTTGAACCTGGAGCGGTCCGCCACGTAGTCCCAGCCGCCTCAGATGACCCGAGAGGCTGACTGGGATTAGCCCGTTTGCAGAGACGACTACAGGAATAATTTCGGTCGGCAGACCACCCCACATGTCGGTCACCTCGTGAGCCAGGTCCAGATATTTTGTTTGCTTGTCTGTTTCGGCTTTCACGAGGTTCTCGTCATACGGAATGGTAATGTCGACCAAAAATATCCTTGACTGTGCCCGGTCCATCAGCACAATATCAGGCTTATTCGCAAGAATAGTCCTGTCTGTGATGATGGCCCGGTCCCAATAGAGCCTGGCGCGATCATTTTCGAGCACGGCTTCCGGCAAGTACTTGTAATACGGCAATTTCCTATCCACGAGACCGTATTTCAGAGCGAGCTCCTGGTGTAGAATTCTGGCTACTAGGTTGTGCCTGTGCAAGTACTGTGTCAGCACTTAAAATTGCAATTATAATGAAAATTTTAATTGCAATTTTAAGTGCTGATTAACCACGCTCGGTGGTGAAAGAAAACACCATGAGAAAACCTGTATATTTACGAGAAACGAGAAAAAAATATTTCGAAGAAATGTGAAGTTCGCCAACACGCATTGGGGCAGCGCAGCGGATTTCCTTGCCCTGAAACCCTATCAGAAATGAGTAGAGGCCTGTGCCCGGCGATGCGTCTTTCAAAGGTTGTAACTTTTTAACTTTAACAGCCTATAAAAGCCCCCTGCACAACATAGACGGCCCCATAGATTGTCTCATTAGAGAGATTTTGCCTTAGTTGTCCCGCTTGCTTGCTAGTTGGCCTGTATTTTTTTTAAAATTTTGAGTTGTTATCAGGAAGATGCTGCCATCTCCTGTTCCAGTTTCTCAGTTTTGCCTTTTACTGTAATGATATAGTGTACTGAATATCCTTACACCTTACTCAGTTAACTTTTTACTTATTTCCGTTAAATTTTTTACTTATTTTGCACGGTATTGAATTTCAAGCATAGTAATCAAAAAAAAATTCTTTGTAATATTTTTTCTTTTATTACTTTCTATTATTTTTATATCAAATAGTAAAGGGAAAAAATAACCAATTATCAATATGAAATATCTTTACTGTAACATTAAATTTACTAGTTTATTTTTCAGCCTAGGAGAACGTTTGGATAAATACGAACTTTATAAGTCATGTGTCAAAAACTTGTCTGTTAACAAAATCTGTTAAAACGATAACAAATTACTCCGAAACAGTTT